TCTCATTTTCCCTTTTTCTCTCTCTGTCCCTCTCTCATCCAATTAAAATAAATAAATAAAGTTAAATAAATTAATTCTTAAAAAAATGTAAAAGTAACAGCAGTGCTCCCTCCCTCTTGCTTTATTGCAGGTAAATTGAGCTTACATATCCCCGCATGTTTTTATGACAGATGAACTTTAAAAGGTACCTTGAATGAATCAAAAGAACAGCACACATGTCTTCTATTCATGTGATTTCATGTTTTATTTACCATTTAGAACAGTAAATCAATAGCTATGTGCCCAGAAACTGCTTTTCAACAGTGTTGTGGAATATAAAGACATGGAGAAATCAATGTCTTTTTTTTTTTTTTTTGTCTCAGGAAACTGGATGCCCTTTCACATTGCTCATGGCAACAGTAATCTGAACTTTTTGTTTATGTTTCCTAAACTCTGAACATTTGGCAGTAAATAGCAACATATTCAGAATGACTGTGAAACGGTTTTAATTGTTGTCATTACCATAGTTACTAATAAGTTATTAATCTGCCATATGTGAAATTGTCAAAATGAGCAGTTTATGAAGCAAATTACACAGATAGAACTCTTTTGGAAGTTTACTACTTAAAATGTACATAAAAAATAAAGACTAATTTCATGCAAGGTTTTAGAAAATAGTATTTTAAGAGTTAAGAACTGTAATATCTATTAATAGTTCTGTTTTCTACCTATTTTGTTGAGATCTCCATCGAGCTATTTAACAATGAATTCATCTTCTATGTGACATGTAACTTGTGGTATCTTCATATTTGAAATCAAGTTATTGATAGTGTCTCATATGTATCGTTTGTACTCTTGTCTTTCTTTTCATCTGACAGGACATTTAAAAGTCTGTGTTTTGAATCATTCCATGTTTGTTGCTGTTTCTTGTTCTGTTGCCAATTCTCTAAGCAATTACTGACATATAGAAAAATTAAAATTATAAACTGGAAAATATTAGTGAGGTCATTATACATCATAATTTTTTTTTTGAGGAATTCTTTTGCCATTTGGCACATGCGCTTGCTGGAGACACAGAGAGAAACAGAGATAGAGAAAGTGAGAAATAACTTCCCAGTAGGAATGGCCAAACCACAATCCCTTTTCCTCCATTTTCCTCTTGGGATTTTGGGCTCACACACACATGTACCTGGTGTGAGTTTGAAATTGCCAGGTCTGGGGCTTGAACCGTGGTCAGCCATGTGGGAGTCTAACACTTTAGCCACAACACCACCTGCTGGCCCCACATATTAAGTCTTATGTCAAGTGTCTAGAACAATATAGAAAGTTCACAACCATAAGTATTGTCATTATTAACTGAGAAAGATTAAAAATATGAGTCTATTAGCCAATTCAAAAATTTTAAGAAAAGAAAATGAATAAGCAGGAGTAAGGACTGCATAATAGTGAATAAGGTTGATGAAGCAGAAAACAGAAAAAATAGAACTGAAAATCAGATTAAAGATCTTGTTCATTGTTTGAACAACCATAAAAATAGGTAAAACACTGGAAAGTTTAATAAAAAGTGAGGAAAGGAAATATACACCTTAGAAAATATAAAGAGAACATAGCAACAAATATTTTTTTGGGAAATAGTCTATGAAGTTCATGGAAGTTCTGGAAAAATCTTAGTTAAATGAATATTTTTCTTGGAAATTGTGAATAGCTAAGATGAACTCAGAAATAAATAGAAAAACTGAAAGAAACAATAATGCAAGAAATGAAAAATTTCAAAGAATTCTTATAAAATAGGCATGGCCCAGATTCTTCACCTCTGAACTCTTACACATTATAAGTATTTCTAGACATAAATAATGTCAGGTGCCTTTTTATATAATTTTCAAGGTGGTAATGTAAGGGTCAGGAAAAACAAACCCTCAATAATTAGCACTGGAGGGGCTAGATGATGGTGCAGCAGTGAAAAGTACCACCCTGTGCAGCAATCCCACATGGGAAGGTTCCCAGTTCAAGTCTGGAGGCCTTCTTAGGTACTCCAGGCACATGCATGTCCATGATCTGGGGCTGGCTGAAGGCTGGACATGGATCTTTAGGTGAAGACCCCGTTGCGGGTATTGTCCCTCTTTCTCTCACTCACAGAAAAGAAAACAAGCTTTTAAAACCTTAAGAACAAAAAGTATCAACATTTGAAAGGAATCTATAATACATGATATTCTTCTAAAATAATAGGCTTAAAAATCCTAGGGAAAAAAACCTAGCAATTAATTCCAGCACAATGTTCAAAAACAAAACTAAAACTAAACCAAAACCACAACAAAAACCCAAACCTCTTTATCTAAGGATTGAATCAATAAAATAAATTTATTAATCTAATGCAAATAATAATAATAATCTAATCCAAATAAAAAATGTTTTATGATCATAGAAAAAGATACTGAGAAGGCAGTTGACAAAATTCAACCTCAATTTTTGACTGGAAAATTTTGGGGGGTAGCTCTATACCACATTCGTTAAGCGCTGTGCATTGGTAGTTAGATCCCACAGGGCCGACTGTTGCTTGAGACTTGGCATTTGCAGCTTGAAAAGTACACTGGTACATGTGAATGCATCCCCTAAATCTTAACAGGATGGAGAAATGCAGGAAAAAGGATTTGCTGAGTGTGGGTGCTTGTTTTTTCTCTCTCTTTCTTCCTTGCTCTCTATCCCTGGCATGTTTATGCACCCTCTGGCAATACAAACATTTTTTTTTAGTAAACTAGGAATAAGAGAGTACATTTATCACAATACACATCATAATTAACAGTGACTCACCAGATTCTGTAGAATACCAGCATTCTAGTCAGAGTAAAGAAGAAGGCAAGGGTCCATGTTATTCCATCATGACATTGCCCAGTTCTGATGCTGCCACTACAATGACACCAAACAACATCACCCAAGAACATACAAGGTGTGTGTGTGTGAGGGGGGTCTTTAAAAATGTGAATGGAAAATGAACTATACATGAATTTCCATTTTTTTGCACTAAAATAAACTTGTACTTTAATACCATTTTCCACAAACTTTTTGAAGTTCTCCTGTATGAGACTTGAGGCTAAGGAAGATTTGTTCCAACTATTAAAGTAAATTGACATTTATCATCCATGATGGTGGTATTATGGGTGATTTTTATTTTTCTCTTTTTGCTTCCCTGATTTTTTTTTTCTAGAGAGCTCGTGTACTTGCCAGAGAAAGACAAAGACAAAGAGAAAGCATCCACCAATGGGGTGTAATGACACCCTAATTCCTGCTCCTCCATTTCTACTTTTGGGAATTTAGGTATACATGTACAAACACCTGGTGTGCTTTTCAAGCCTCCAGGTCTGGGACTCAAACCATGTGGTCAGCCACTAGGCCACAGGACTGGCCCACTTCTCTGTATTTTCTTTACAGAATTTCTATGACTCCCTTTTCTGTTTTCTAAAAATGAAATAACAAGCATTGAGAAACATAATTTCCCTTTTTAGATCAATAGCTTATACTTGGTAGGTCTCAAAGTTTCCCTGTTTTCAATCCTAGTCACACAGATGAGGAAGTAAGAGCATAGAGAGAAATTTGTCACTTTTATGAAATGCAAGATGGATGGAAGGCTGAAACAGATTTCTATGAACCTAACATGACTTTGTTCCTTGGTGTAAATAAGATGGCTTGTTACAGCTCTATCTTCATGTGTATTGACTTTTCCTTCCTGAGATGATGTCATCTAGTCTAACATTTCTGAAGATGACTTCATCTAGTCTAACATTATTTTCAAGGGTTACGTAAATGAACTCTTCCTTCTAGGAAATTTCCATTGCACCTAATAGTGAAGTTGCTAGAATGGCTGGTTTGACTTCTGGCTGCCTCTCCCTCTAGTACAGCTTCTCCTGACTCAGTGTCCTTGCCCCCAAGGCAAAGAAAAAGAGAAAAAGCTTCCTCATGTGGCATTAGCTAGCACAAACGGGCCATCTACAATAAAATACCACCCTTACTGAGGGGGGAAAGGACATGCCTGTCAAAGTGCTGCAGCAGTGTCACTGTTGATGCTTTTTCTTTGTTGCTTTATAAATCCAAGTTTCTATTTAACATCACAGTGGCCCAATCCAATTTTCTCTTCACGATTCTGGAAGGACAAGGTGGAGTTTGCGGACTGAATTCATGAAGAAGTTGTGCTGAAGAGGAAGGCCCTGACATAGGCTGACTGGCGTCTCCTAGAAGGCCCACCTGAGGAAAGATTCTGTCACACTCATTATCTTGCTCTTTGGAGCACCTCTGGGGTCTTGTTGCAATTTCAGTTTTGACCGGTGAAGAAGAAAAGATGCAGTGTGGCTCAGGGTTGTGGAGACGGGGTTCATGTGTAAGTCAGCCTCGCTGGTGGCACCCGGGCCACTCATCCCGCAGCTGGCTGTAACTTTCACACAGACCCTCAGTACGATGCTGCTAATGACAGCCCTGAGGTGTTGGAGAAAGAATCCGGTTCATGATCAATAACCCAGGTCGTGGTAGATAGCTCTTAATTACTGCCACACTGACCAGTGTGGCCTCTACACGTGACTACGCAAATCAATGGAATGAAACTGAATGGAAACTTCCATTCCTCAGCAGCTCTGGCCCCACCTCAAGTGCCCCATAGCCACCTAGTCAGTGGCTCCCATGTTGGCCAGCACAGCCTCAGGACACTCCCACATCACAGACTGTCCCAGTGGACAGCTCCACTCTGTATCATTAACTCCACTTTACACAACTGCCAGACCTCAGGGCTGAAGAAAGCCATCCCCTTTGTTTGAGTGGAAGCTCTCCTGGGGTGTTTACCTGGGGAGATGAGAGTCAGATCAGACCATTCTAGGAAGGGCATCCTTTGTTCAGAGAGAGAGGAAGGAGTGATGTTTGTTTCCCCAGTGGAGATAGCCTGACTGTGAACCACAGTTTCAGCCTGGTGGAACGTTTCTGCCAAGGAAAATCTCCGGAGAGGACTCAACTGTTTCTATAGTGCCCTTAACTAAGATTTTTTGGTAAATAACTGACAGGAGATGGGCTGTTTCTATGGCAGTATTAACCCAAATGATGGGTGTTAATCATTAAACCTTTTAGGTGGTGGCTCGCTTGTTTCTCTGATATTCTAATCCGGGTCACAGAATGGCTAAGGCAGCTTTAAGTGGAGGGTGGATTTTTTTTTTTCTCAGTTTGCCTTTTGTTTTCCAATCTGAAAGAATGTTGTGGCCGCTCTTTTTTCTGGTAACTGCTGTGCATGCTCAACTCTGCCAACCAGGTATGTCATTGTGAAACTTAAAAATAGTTAAATGGTGTTCTAAATGATTGACAATTCATGGACTGAAAGAGTTTTTTATTTTTGTAAATCTGCAGACATGTTGTAGCTTGAAAGTTGAGCTTATGACTGTTTTATGAGTTGGCAATAAAAATTTAAGCCATGTAAGATGTTTTCAGTTAAACTTTCAGAGGTATATGGGACAGTTTAATTGTAGTTCTGTGTTCTGTTGACTTGAGTTGCACTAAATATGATTTATCAGGTTTTGTTTTAACAGGGCTTATCATTCTATACTAATATTTCTTTTTTTCTTTCTGGCAGATGCACAAAATGCTTTTAAAGTGAGACTTAGCATCAGAACAGCTCTGGGAGATAAAGCAGTAAGTGAAGAATCTTTATGTCCTCTTAAAATGTTTCTGCTAGCAACACTGTTTTCTCTAATAACAGGTCTCTCTGTGTAGTTATGTGAATCTCCAATAAATTACTTCTGAGGACCTCAAATGTGATAATTTCTTAAGTATAGATGATAGTAAATTAGAAACTTAATAAAGTTTGTTTGCCTAAACAATTTTGTAGTGCATACTAGAAATTATGTGAAGCTTTTCATGACACAAAGCGATTTGAAAAACTTGAACCTGTCAACCCAAATGAGTTGAAAAACTTGAACCTCACTGCTCAAAGAGTAGAACAGAGGGGCCTGAGTCAAGTTACTCAGGTCTGGGCCAGGTCTGCCCCTTAGTTGTGGTCATTTGAATTTTGTTAGCTTGAGTTTTCTAGTCATTGAAAAAAAGGGGTAGTTCCTACCCACACAAGGCCTTTTGTAGCATGAAAATTTCCCATTCTAACATGAAGCTTCTTCAGTTCTTCTCAATGATGAAAATAACAACCCAAAATATATAATTATGCAGTATGAGTTCATAAAGTTAACAGAAATGCATGTTATGAAATATGCATAGATTTCAAATTTTTTGCACTAAAATAAACTCATGTCTTAATTCCAGTTTTCAATGTAGTTTTTGAAGTCCCTTCATAAAGTTAAGAAAATATTCATAGAGCCTCTGTGGATACAAGAATAGTAAAGACCATCAAATTAATAGGACAGTATTTTCTAATTCTATTTTCAGTTTATAATGTGGTCTGCAAGTTTTTCCCAATAGGTGATATTAATATAACTCTAGCTAAAGATAAAAAGAAGTGCTAAATAATCTTAGGAGTATTCTGTTTGTAGGCCAATATACTAATGTATTATTTAATTATTCACTCAATGAGTAATAATTGTTATAATAGTTAGCATTTATTGAGAACTTAGTTTACTTTTTAGTTTGCCCTTTTTAAAAAAAAAATTTTATTTAACTTTATTTATTTATTTAAATTTGACCACAGAGGGACAGAGCAAGCAAGGGAAAGTGAGAAAACAAGCTGCCAGGTCCAGGACTTGAACCGTGGTCAGCCATATGGGAGTCTAGCACCCTCAACCACCATGCCACCTGCCTACTCCTTGCTGGCACTTCTAAGCACTATACTCCTATCAGCTCATTTAGCCCTTCCAACAACCTTATTTTTTTTTTTTTTGGAGATATTTTTGCCATAGGGCGCGTGCGCTCACCAGACAGACAGAGAGAGACAGAGAGACAGAAAGGGAGAAATCACCCCCCCAGGGGGGATGGCCACGCCGCAATCTCTTCTCCTCCATTCTCCTCTCGGGATCCTGGGCACGCACGCACACGTGCCTGGCGGGAGTTTTAAGCCACCGGGTCCAGGACGCGAACCGCAGTCGACTACGTGGGAGTCCAGCGACATAGCCATTACGCTAACTGCTGGTTCCAACAACATTTTGAAGAATGTAGTAGAGGTATTCCCATTTCCACTGGATAGATGAAAAAACTGAGGTGCAAAGAAATTAAGTGACCCATTCAAGATATCATGCCAGCAAGTGGCAGAGGTAAGAGTTGAACCCAGGTCATGGAACTACAGAAACTTCTCTCTACCAGTGTGCAGGGTTGCCCATCTCAGGATCCTCTGAGGGCAGGTACCATGCCAGATGCTAGGATGCCATGTCAGTTAAAATTAGCTTGTCCCTGCTCCTGTGAAACTTAAAGTAGTGGAAGAACTAATTATCCAATAAATATTCAGTAAACCAAATGCAGATGTGTAATTTTGACAAGTATTACCGGAAGAAAAAACACATGGGGTCTCCCTTTAGGTGTTAGTTCCAGGCACTTGCTGTGAGGTCTAAAGTATGAGTAGGGGATAAAAGAAGGAAAGGCAGAGGGAACAGCACATGCAAAGACTGTAGCACAGAAAGGAGCTGGGTGAGAGTGAAGGATAGAAGGAAGGCTGAAGTGTCTGGGATTGGGGTAGTGAGGAGGAACATGGCACATGATAAGTTTGGAGAGAAAGGAAGGGCCAGAGTAAGGAATATGTAGGCCATATTAGGGAGTTCTGTTTCAAGGTGGAGGGAGTATTCAAGAGCATCAGATGCTGTTGAGAGGTTATGCAAGATCAAGACCAAAAATGCTCATTGTGTTAAGCAACACAGAGGTCAATAGTGATTTAGAGAGAGCTGTTTTTGTGGAGTAGTGGGGCTGGAAGGCAGATAATGAAAAGAATAGGAAGTAAATGGGTGCTGAACATGTGGAAATTCAACTATGGATAACTTCTCTGAGAATTTTGGCTGTGACCACCAGGAGAGAGACAGCAGTAGGTGGAAGAAAGGAAGACAGAATTAATTGATTTGTTTTTGCTGTTGCTTTAGTGGGAAAAACTTGAGCATGGTTAAAAATCAATGGACAGTCTCCAGTCAGAATTGAATACACAGAAGGGTTTGGAGACTGCTACTGTTTAGATCCTGAGAAGGGCATGTAGAGGGAATAGCTTTTGAAAGAATGGAAACATCACGTCTGGCCCTTTATAGAGGAGGTAGATAGGGATGTGCATCTATGGAGGAAGTTTTATATCATGGTATCAGAAGGATAGGAGGGTTTAAACTGATTACTTTAGCTGTATCTATGAATTATAAAGCAAGAACATTTTGTGAAAGTGAGGTGCAAGGGAAAGCATTGAGATTTGAGAGTGGGGGGGGGAAGGTTTAAAATAGTCATGTGACCCATGAAAGACAGAACTGATGAAGAAACTAAGGTATTCCCAGGCATTTGGAAGCAGATCATCATCAATTTAAAGTTAAGCCAACAAACCATGCTTTTTTTTATTTGTTTAAGTTTATGCATTTATTTGTTCCATGAGAGAAAGAACAAAAGACAGAGAGAGACAAGGAGCCCCAGCAGGGTCTTCATGCTGCCGCCCATCCCCAGTCTCAGCCAGCCTAGATCACAGGTGTGTGAGCATGCCTTGCATGCTCAGGGAGATACCAGGCCAGGACAAGAACCAGGACCTTTTCCATGTGGGTCCAGTTGTATTACCGCTGCACCCTCACCTGGCCCCACTGTGACTTTTTCTAGTTATGCTTGGCTACTTACTTAAAATGTGGGGTTAACCCTGATTTGAGTGTTCTTAGAAGTATACCACAAGCAAGGTAAGCTGGGGGAATTTTGGGCTTTGGCACAACTGTACCAAGGGATCGGAACGTAGATATATGTACGCAACTAATACGCACCAGTTTTTGAAACCACATGTGGGATATAAAGATATGTTCAATTTCATACAGTTATTGAGCATTTACTATATATCAAGTATTATATGAACAATAGGTAGCTAAAGTGCTATGAACATTCTTGCTTATTTATTTTTCTTATGCTTTTTTTTTCTGTGCGTGGGGTGGTGGGGGAGGGAATTTAGCCAGTGTAGAATTGCTGGGTCATAGAGTATACTAGGTTTAGCTTTAGTAGCTCTTTCCTTATCCTGTCTTAAGTTGTACATTTCACCATTACTACATGTGCTCTGCTTTTATTATGCATGCAGCCCCCTTGCTTGGGTTGTTTTGGAGGCCCTAATAGAAATATGGTACAGCAAATGCAGGCGCTTTCACTTCTTCCACACTCATTCAAGATTAGCTGGTTCCAAGGGCCAATACCCAGCCCAATCTGGAGCTGCATTGATCCTGTTCTCATCTAAATAGCTTGGGGGCTTTGTTCTGTGACCAATGTTCAATTCCTACCCAGCCAGCTCCTATTCTTATCTTTAACAGAAATCAGTGAAAGGACAGGGGATCAAGTGAAGCCATCCTCGAGAGCAGAAAGACACTTGAAATTCATGCTCTGGTGAGAGCTGGCACTGAGCTTTTCATTCTCATCCACACTTGAGCAGGCTCATACCCGATCTCAGCTTTGAGTTAACAAGCCTTCCCTGTCTGAATAGTGTTTGTGTGCTATTTTTAGTCAGACTATTTTCTTCTTTATATTTTGTTCTCATTTATTAAGTGGACTATAGCTATTATTCTGAATAAAACTAATCTTAGAAACAAATACATTATCAAAAACAAGGAGCTATGCCATTAGCCAGTTATTGTTAAACTTCAGTAGTATAATATAAAATCCAAAGTTTACTTTAAATGATTGAACACTTCAAGTAGTGTCTAGGGTTGACATTAAATTGCAATATTCAACAATTGCATGTGAGGGGAAAAAACAGCTGTGCTTCCTTTTCTTGATGGTAATATCTGACTGCAGTTATGTAACATAGGACTGAAAGAGAAAAGGATGAAGTAGAAGAAGCAATGGAAGCAGGTTTAAAATATACATTATGAAGATATTTAGGAAAAAAGAAGAGGTATAGTCAGAAACCTTCTTACATGAGAAGGTAACTGAGTGATATATTTTTTTGCATTGTTTAGGAATCATCAATTTTTACTTATTATCTTCTTCACCTCCCACTGGAAAAGGAGAAAGGCAGCAATAGTAAAATGTTTGTGCATCTCTGAGGGAAACCCAGATCCTAACCATGTCCCCGTGATATGCCAGCTCCTCCCCTCACCATCCCTTCCCTTCTTTTAGCTTTTACTACTTTCTTCTTTACTATTTCTGCCACTTTGTTTCTGTCCCCAAGCTTTTACATTTGCTGTGTGAAGGAGCAGAATGAGTTAAGTCTTCTATATTCCTTTGCTAGAGCTGTTGTAGCAAAGTACCATAGGCTGGGTGACTTAAACAACAAAAATTTATTTTCTCCCTATTCTGGTGGCTGGAAGCTCAAGATCAAGTGTCAATAGAGTTGGTTTTTTCTCTCTCTCTCTCTTTCTTTCTTCTTTCAGAGATGTTTTCTATAGGGCATGTGTGGTCACTGGAGAGACAGAGAGACAAAAAGCAAGGGATCATCCCATGGGGGGGATGGCCATGCCATAATTCCTTCTCCTCCATTTTCCTCTTGGGATTTTAGGCATGCACACATACATGGCCAGCGTGAGTTTAAGCTGCTGGGTCTGGAACTTGAAGCACCATCAACCTCATGGGAGTACAACAACATAATCTTTATGCCATCTGCTGGGTCCAGGGTTGGTTCTTTCTGCGAGCTTTGAAGGAAGGATCTGTTCCAGGCCTCTCTTCTTGGCTTGTAGAGAGTCTTCTCCTCCCTGCATCTTAATATCAACTTCCTTCTATATGATGACGCTGTGTCCAGATTTCCTCTTCTTCCAAAGACATCACTTTAGGGACCATCCTAACAACTTCAATTTAATGTCATCATCTATGTAAAGACCCTATGTTCTAATAAGGTCCTATTCTGAGGTATGGGGGGTTAGGACTTCAACATGAATTTTTTGAGGGTGGGAAACACAATTCAACAGACACATACTTGAAAATTTCTAGCTAAGAAATTTTTAAAAAATGTACAGATGTTAATAAAAGAAACTTTCAAGTTTTCAGTTAATAAAATTTTTTAAATGTGCAGATATTAATAAAGGAAAATAAAGGAGACAGAGTCAGTTTATGAGGGAAGAGAAAAAAGGGAGGAAGGGAACCATATGTGACCAGGATGAAATGTACAAATAAATGCCTATGTGTTGACGGGTGATTGATCTGACAAGTTCTGAGGAAGATAGTGCAACAGGATACACAACAGACTTGGATTTAAAGCAGGTCCAAGAAACCCTAACCCAAACATTATGGGTACATGATTTATCATGGTCTCCAATTTTCAGTGTATGACAAAGACAAGAGAGTGAAGAGAGCATGTGCACGAGAGAGAAAGGAAGCACAATGGACCAATAAAAACCCAATGGACATATATATATATATATATATATTTAATATCATGTCTCTACAGAGTAAGCAATCCGTGAAAAAATCTTGATTATTTGCAGTGTTATTTGAGACAGTGCATTATTTAAAACCTTGATCTGAAGAATAACTGATTAACCTAATTTTTCAAAGGAACCCACATTTTTTTAAGAGGTTTTTGCTATAGGGCGCGTGCGCTCACCAGAAAGAGAGACAGAAAGCCAAAAATCACCACCCAGGGAGGATGGCCACACTGCAGTCCCTTCTCCTCCATTCTCCTCTCAGGATCTTGGGCACACAGGCACACGCACGCACGCATGGCATGAGTTAAAGCCACCAGGTCTGGGACTCAAACCACAGTTGACTATATGGGAGTCCAGTGACATAGCCATTATGCCAACTGCTGGTCCCCCACATTTTTATGGAACATTAGAAAAATCTAGCTCAAGTCACAGTTTATATCATGTTCCAACCATCCTTTTTTTTCAAAAGGCAATATGAAGAGAAATATCTCAAAGAACTACAGTTACATATCCTATGATTTCTATAGTTCTATGGTATTACATATCATTTTTCTTATAGATAGATAGAACTACACTTTCATTTTGAAAATCACCTAAATAGGTTCTTCCCACTGTTAGTATAAATCATAGTACCTTATTTGTTTCCTTAACAGCATTTAGTACAACTTTTAAATAATGTTACATTTTTGTCTGCTATTCTGGAGGAACCTGTTCTATTTGTGATGTTTCCTTTCTTCTCTATTTTGTGATTAGGGTAACTATCTTGGTCTCTCTTTGCTCCCTCTCTCCCTCCCTCTCCCTCTTGAGAGGGGAAATGACATATCTGAGCTGGAAGAACAACTTGGGTCTGGGCTCTTTACTCTTCCCCTGCTGCCCCCACCGCAAGGCATTCTCCTGAGCTAGTCCATAGCTAAGTACAGAAGCAGGCCCTGAATGGGTACCCTGTAAGGCTGTACTGTACTTGCTGTTTAACCTGAGGAGCCTTTAGATTGGTAGGTACCATATCATGTGGGCTCTTAAAAATTCATAGCTTGCATATTACTCTAGCCTGGAGAAATCTGCCTTAGTTTAGCTCTACCCGAGACCTGGGAGGTGAATTTCATTTCAGGATTTTGTTAAAACCAGGAATAATGCTCACTATTTAAAGTCATATCCTCCAACCT